CGGAAAGTTTCCGCCGTGAAAGGTACCGTTAAGCAAATCCTCTGGTAGAACTGGGCCAATTTGCTGCGGTTATACGTAATACCCGTGCTTGTGGGTCGAACTGCCTTCGTAAGTATACCGTCCAGAAAACGAATACGAACAATGGAAAAGGGATCTGTCACTTTCCATTTACCGGTGCAAAGTAAGTTATCCATCGCAAGATTAGCTACATTCGGATAGTGCGCGAGGGTGAGAGGAGAAGGCGGATAAGCGGATGAGTGTGGCTTTATCTTATTTCTCATAGATACGGTACAGTACAATTACAATCGTAGCCACGACTATCGGTCGAAAGTTTCGTAGCTAAACTCATCCTCGCAAATAGGATCACATTGTATTAGTAACACGCGACGATAAGTGAGAAAGAGAAGAAGTAGTTTCCTAACTATTTTCTAATCTTCGCAAAGTATTACTTCATGCTCGTGGTACTTAACTGTCGGCACCAGCTAACGTTTGACGGATATAAAAAGTCAGGGGTGTTGCTTGGCTATAAAATCTAACGGAAAATTGGCTATTGGCAAAGAGGAAAATCGTGGCGAAGCATTATGGGCAGTCGCGACTGCAAGGACGAAATATCGGGACGGAGAGAAATACAGAGGCCGACAGAATTAATATTTCATACGTAGAAAAACAATAACGCGGATGGCAACGTGAACCCGGTCGGATCGAGCAGATTTAATTCCTTAAAAGCTAGTGCATTTCGAGATCCTGCTTTTACCCGGCATGTCGAGCGTACATTTGCTTTGCGCGGGTACGCGAGAGGAGCCGTCGCGAATGAAAGATAACGAGAGGCAGAGCAGCGCAGGCCACGGAATAAATTTTCCTAATAAAAATTTGTCGGTCCACGCTTCACCAGCGCGAATCCTAGCGCCGTCGCGATTCTGAACGTTACGAGAGAAAATTGAAAAACTGTCTCGAGAAGCTCTTTGTTTAAAGAAACGGAGCTCGAGTACGAACTGGTACGAGGAAAATAGCCATTGACTCTTTTCAGTTTCCTTCCTTTTATTTAATTTGTTTTATTTAATTGATTTCGAATAAATATAATTTCGGACTATCGATAGCGCGCATACACAGACGTTGATTAATTTTTCAATGCGCGTAATCGCGCCGTTAAAAAATTGAACAGATGCATCTTCTTTGGTGGTGAGCATAAATAATAAGTGTGATCGTTTACGAGGCCGCCGTGCGAATCGTTATTAATGGACTTTCGGCAAAAGCAACGCTCTTTTTATATCACCGTGATATAAATCGCTTTATTCCCGCTATGAGGGCTATAAGCTATAAATAATTTGGTGGCCGAGGTTTTTCAACTCCCTCTACGTACGCTGGCTGGCTGGTAATCCTCCATATTTAAGCTCTATCTATCGGGTCAATGAGAACCCATCGACTAGTGATTCTATCACGAGCTCGAGCGGACAGTCGCACAAATTTATTCCTTATCTAGACGCGCTACTCGAGGAATCGAGTAAAACGTGGGATCAATTAATTCGAATATTCCTTGCCTTTCTAGTGAAATCGTGGGCGAAACGAAATACTTGGATGGTATTACCTCGTTAATAGACGTATGTTCTGGGACTACGACTATTAACGACGTAGATATTCCGAGAATTGCCGGCTATTATCTCTGTTTCTAAATCCATGCACCTCGGGAATTTGATTAAAGTAATACAATGTTCCTGTGCTCTTGAAAATATTCTATCATCGGCATTTGTACATTTTTCGAGACACGACGCTGATTGAAATATTTAAAGTTACTCGCGATATTTTTACCTCTTTAAGTAAGGTTGTATCGAACAATTTGTTGCAATTAGACGAAGAGAAAGAAAGATGACGCAAAGAAAGTGATAAAAAGAATTTCAGTTTTCTTGAATTTCAAGATGGTAACCAGGACATTTTAAGTAGGGAGGATAGAATTGCGAAGCGAAAGATATAATCTTCCTATTTTGACGACTCGCTGCTAACCGAGACAGTAACGAAAGTAGCTTTCGGGCGAGAATGACAGAGTTTCGCACGCCAGATCTCTGTCTGTGCAGTTACCGGTCGTGTCTACCGGTGAACCACGGATGAAGGATCGTGGCGCGGCGCGTAAATAATAGAAAAATTTCTGGGAACTGCCGAAACGAGCGACGCTCTCGTTCCGGAGAAAAACGTGGCTGCGCACCAAGTTCTCGCGGCCATGGCGATCGCCGTATAAAATGACACCGACCGTGGCGATGCGCTCTGATGAAACATACAATATACGTATACGTGTGCATAGCATGTATAGATGCGTTCGGCGAAGAGAGAGAGAGCACGCGGCAGAAACATTTAATTCTGTTTGCGGCGAGCGTAGAACAACGCCGGTGCCAGAATAGAAGATCGGAGACAAATGGTCGCGCATACTTAGCGAGCACTTGACTGTGACAAACTACTCCGCATATACACAGTGGGAGAGGACTCGGTGGAAACGTGGCCTCATACCGAAGCCCGCAACTTGCGACAACGACAGACCCAACCGAACCCCGAACAGGGCGAAAGAGAAAGAGAGTGTAGCGTTGTTCGTAAATTGTGCTCCGCGGAATGCCGAGTCGTCGTCGGGCTTCCGCGCCGTGGTTTAAACCCTTGCGGATTGCCAGGATGAGAACGAAGAGGAGAACGTGACGGCAACGTTCGACGACGACGACGACGACGACGACGACGACGACGACGGCCAACGCGCCGGAGTAAATGAAAATTTTATTACTTCGATATTTGCTGACGCTCACATTATTTTTTTCTACTAGATTACTACTGATCACGGTTATACGTTGATACATCGGATGACGATCCTTAGGTTTTGTGTCGTGCCTAATGTTTCATCCGAGTTTGAAAGATAGGGTTCTCTGTCTTGTCGTAAGGAGAGCGCGGGTATTCGTGTGTTTATGAGAAATTGAAATATGCAAAATATATACGATCTAGCCCTTGCAATATTTAGTAGACGAGATAAGTCTCTGTCTATATTCCATTTATTTAGTCATATTCATAAGAATATAACTTTTTATAAATAAACATCCATGATTTAGTTATATGTATATGCAGTTGGAATTTTTATCCATTTATTCATTTGAAATTTATACTGAGGCGTATAATTGTCTTTGTTTCAGGTAGGTGGACAGTCGCATCGAGTAACAATTACTTGGAGTAAGTAATCCAGATCTCGATTATCCGTAAAAAGATAGATGCGACTACTTTTGAATATTTAGAACTACACGGTGTTCTAATTTTCTCTGGAAGATTAATTATCCAATATAAAAAAAATTACGCGAATCTAATCGTTCCGATTAGCGGCGATAATCGTAGTCTAATGCTCGGCGATCACGAGCAGATCATGCGAAACGCAAACAATTTCGCGGCGTGTTGCGCGTTTACATCGATGCCAGGGATCGATGGTAGGGAAAAGGAAGAAGACGCGGACGGTTCATGAATATTCCGCGGGACTCGACTGTTCTTTCGTGCTCGGCCATTTTTCAAACGGTCGAGACAAAGTATTTTGGTACGATGCCAGGTGGATGGAAAGGAACCGAGCTACGTGCTTATCCTTCGAGGATCTCCGATTTCTCGCTCATTATCGACGTGTAGTTTGTTAGTCCCTTTGATTCCCTGTCCACAAGAGGAACGAAGATGAATCGCGAATTAGGATAGAACCGTATCTAGCATTTTCGAGCGTAAAGGATGCTGGTTTGAGAAAAAGCAGAAAATCTCTTTATCCCATTGGCAATCGGTTACCCATTTTCATTTCTACTTTAATAATTTTTTATATCGTTAAAACATGACCAAGTTTCTCTGATTCTCCATCTTTCATTTTCTATCGCTCTTTATTTCTATTGCTATCGCTATATAAACCTTTCGCATAGAGTTTGCTTACAAATCTTTCGCGGGTGACAATGTTCCATTAGTTGTATCTGATGGAGGATTGCGAGCGGATGAAGTCTGTCGGACCGGCATATCACGCAGTTTATTTGCCATCTGTTAGAAGTAAGAATACGAAAATAAAATCGTACGGAGAAAATTTTAGTTTTCAACTAGGATACCCATTTGTTCTAAGCGTTCTTAGGATAAATCAAACATAGCGCGATAGTTTCATTTCTATTCAATCTTCTATTAAAATCCTCGATCTCCCATTTTTATCTCCTATCAAGCGCTATTATAAATAATTACTCCTAAGGATTATTTGAAACCACTATTACTATAGTGACTGTGCGTATCGGATTATCAACGTGAAAAGCTTAACGATCTCTATTGTTCGTCTGTTGCCGTAAAATCGAATTAGGGGAAAGGGTCTACTCAATATGAAACTAAATAAAACATCATAGAGATTCAAAAACAATTTACGATCCAATCTATAAGAATTATGCTTGACATGCCAGGCACAGTGGTTTTCGAAGCGACAAATGGAAGCAGAGTGAATCGCATGATGTTTTCAAGCAGAGGGATGCAGTCGATGAGTACCGGTGATTTCGTTTCACTGATGGCAATTTTCCACGAACGACAACGTTCGTTACATTTTCACGTTTTTGTTACGTTCTTCGTTACGTTTTAACAAAACGTGACGGGCTGTTATTCGCAATATCCTGACTGTTAAATTGAACATAGTGATCCGTTTCCTCCTTTGATTCGTTGAAAGATTTATGGAATAATGTTTAGAACGATTTGCATAGATCACAATTGAACAATCGTATGTCAGAATTAACCATTTCTATAATCGGAATTGTAATTTTATTATTATCGTGCAGAATATCACGCGAATTTCACGGATTCGCTTCTAAACGATGTAGCGTTCAATGGCCGAAGAGGGTTAATCGTTCGTTGGAAAAGCGTTGAAAAGCCGGTGACCGAATTAGTCGTTACACGTCATTAAATATCAGAGTTGGCGCAGCAGCGATCCCGTACAGCTCTACGCCTATCACAAAATACGTGTTTCGCAAAGTAACAATGCCTGTTAAGCCCAATTTGTTATAACGTTTCTTGATTACATGTTCAACCTGCACTTTACGAGAAATTAATCTTCGTTTAGTCAGAACTTTGTAAGATCCTTCAATTTATATAAATATTTCAGATTCCAGGTGGAAAGTTGAAAATTTCTAATCGAGAAATACATATGGATAATTTCATGGTCGAAATTTGCAAACTCTCAGAGTGAAAGGTTTGAAAATCGACGCGAATATTCTGTTTATTAAATCTAATTCCAATTTCGAGCGGCAATTTGCAGGAGCGCGGGACAACCGGTCGTTCGTTAATCGTTTGACAGACGGGGCTTCTGATTATTATTATTATATTTATCGCGCAGCTTGGCCGGACGACGAGTTTTTAATTCGCGCATCCGATTCACCGGCATTGTGTTCGCCACGGCACTGGCTCCGTGGTTGGGATTTTTGTTTTTGTTTCCCTTCCCCTGGTCACTCTCTTTGCCCTGCTATTTTTATGCACGGCCATTTAGCGAGGAAATTTGTCGGACGGTGAAATATCTCTTTTGTCCTGGCGGTGCGACAGGCGGCTCTCGATTATTTTGCCATCGCCCCGCCAGCGATGCTCGCACAGCGAAAATCTCTCTGATCCGCGTCGCTCGGCTCTCTCTTCCTTTCCGCGCTTTCCGTTCATCGCCTCAGCCGCGCGTTTTTCCACGGCCCACTGAAAAACTCCGCTTGCCTGTTTCGGGAACGCGAGAGCGCGGCCGAGCCTCGCAGTTGCCTCTGCTTGGCCCGTGTTTTTCTCTGCGTAGGATCGGCTTTCCAATTAACTCGCGCCACTCCAATATAATATTCATTTTTGTCGATTAATATCGCTCCGCGTCAAAAATATTGTATCGATGTCTTCTTATTATCCTTCTTTTAGCAAGGATAGTAAAGCAGCAAGCGTAGTTGTTTCGAGAAGAGTGACACAGGGCTATTTCGACGTTAAAGTTTGCACGGAGCAATTCAATTTATGTGATATTAAGAGACACTATTAGGTTTTAATACGGTGATAAAAGAATGAGAAGATATCGTGTACTTTAGGTGGCAGGAAAATATGCCAGAAAAGAGGAAATCCGCAGGGATATCGTGCAATCGAACTTAACTCTTATCCTTTGGTAATGATTGTCGCAAATAATTGTGCTTGCCAGCTCTATCAATATTTCTTATCTATTAACTAACCACGAAGCAGGTCTCGAATTGGATGGGAAAACGCCGGTTCTCTTAGTGGAGCGCGCTTAATTCCGCTGTTTATATTCGGCACGGTTGGCTCGTTTATTTATATTCATCCCTCTTAAGGCAGCGTTGTTGCAGCCGCTAATAAATTTATATCGATCCCAGGTCGGTCGAGGTCGTCGGAGGCCTCGGCAAAGGCGAGGGAAGTGGGAATTCGCAGGTTACAGGGAACGCTACGTTCCACGTGGCCGGATCAATCTAAATTCGCATTATTGCCGAGAAGCTAGGTGCGATACACCGTACGATCCGACACCTAATACGGGTAATTCCGGTTTATTAGGCCGAACCGCATTAGGTTTCCGGTTTATTAGCTCGGAACCGAGCCTCCGCGCGTCCATCGTTCTCAACGGCAGCTCGTTCTCGCGCTCTCGCGTTCATCGATTCGGCTACCTCCGCTTCCCGCGGCCGCGTTGTCCCGGTTTACTTCATTAATTCGATCGTTCTAGTTTCGAACGCCCTTCTCCGTCGTCTTCGCCTCCGTATCCGCCTCCTCCGACTCCGCTTCCGCGGGCTCAAGTGCTCCTTTGAAACCGAGACAAATCGGATTCCGCGGCGGGACACCGGTAGTTGGTGAACTTTTGCAGCATCGCCTCGCCGAGCACACGCGCTCTTTCCCGTTTCCTGTTAGGCTGCTGTGTCGCGGTATTTTCGCCATCAGGCGCCGCGACATGTGCAGTTTCGCGGCGCCATCATCAGAGCGCCCGTGTTTATCGTTCGTGGCAGGCTTATACTGCTGCAACCGTCTATAAATGCGTAAGAGGCAAAACCATAGAGGAAAGGAGTACGCGTTCCGTGTCGGTTATGTCGCGTTTCCATCCGACAGCGACAGTGTATTTAACGGCAGAATTTTCTTGTTCGAGCAGCTTTATACTCGCGTAAATTTACCTTTACCTTCGCGTAAAGTGTCGATAGATACTTTCATCGCTTTTAGATACAGTGCATCTCTCTTTGTTTGACCCGTCAGCTCAGCGGGCACTGGAATAGATTATTTTATAGCGAAGATCGAATGTTCTTACCTCTGCGTGATGATTGAATCGAGATAAGAGGTAAAATCATTCGCTACTAGGGACAAAACATCGATAATTAACGAACGTCACGTGTGAAACTAGGTGAAAGACGTTTCTTCCTCGTTCTCTGTTCTCTTTCTCCTCCCAAATTGCATGCAACAGCGTGTTTATATTTCAAGGCGAGCTCTTTTCTTTTTCTCGCCTATCCTCGTTTTAGTCCGATGAATTTTTCAATTAACTCAAGGCGGCCGGTCGAAATCGAAGGCGAAGAAGCCGAGGCGCACGATGAATCGGATATTAACCGGAAATCGAACGCGTCCGCCGCTACGGAGCAACAACATTTCTTTGGGATTTCTTATTTTAATTATCGCGAGGTAACGTTCTTCTCGCGTGTAGACTCGTTCGATAGTTTCAGCGAACACGAAACATAGCACGATTGGTGCGCGTTCGAGCGTGACAGAAGAGCGGCGTGTCGACGAGCTTCCAACGAGGGGGCGTGAACCCCTGTTTTGATTATACGTTGAAAAATGAGTTATCACAGCGGTCGCCGCATCTTGACGGTTAAATAAATTGACGATGGCAGGCACAGTGAACCAAATTTTCGCTTAAAAATTATTTCCATGATCTTGGAATTTATTTAAAACTTGGAGCTGGAACGAACGACGCGACCACGCGAATACCTTGTCCGAATTCCTTAACGCGATATAAGAAGGGAAAAAATTCAAAGTTAGGAAATGACAAGGTTTACCGTGAAACGGGTGCTCTGGTGCAGCCAGCACGATACACGAAATAAGACGCGCGAGGCGGCCGACTTTGAATTTTCCGTAGGACGGCCGACGATTCGGTGGAGCCTTTGATCGCAGAACGGAGACGTCCTTTCTTCTTCCAGAACAGCAGAGCGATTTAGGCCCTCGAGCGTTCCCGAAATTCCAGAAGGAATTGCTCGTCT